CTAGAACCCACGTGTCCAGCCTGGAGCCCCCAGAGCAGTTATTGGGATCATAGAGGCAACTGCTCATGCCACCCCGTGCCCACTTCCAGCTCAGGACCCAGCTGACGGTTGCCAAGTAAGAATGTGAGCACAGTGTGGCCAGATCGGGTGTTTCCAGAAAAAATGAGAAAAAAAACTAGAAATGAGAAAAATGAGAAATCTTGATTTTTTTTAAAGTGAAATCTTTCCAATTTTTAAAAACTTGGTAGCTAATTATAAACGAAATTTTAAAAACGATGATGGTCAAACGAAACTCAACAGTGGGCAATCAGTCCGCAGCTTCTTCTCCAGATCACTTCTCCCTCCTGCCACGCTGCAGATCACAAAACAGGCCCGGAGAAGAGAGGACCCGAAGGTAGTTTCCTGACTCTACTCCGAAACCATTGGCTTGGCCCCAAGCCTGAGGGTCCTGGAGCAGGATGTGGCCTTTGCAGGGGTGCGGCTAGGCCACCCGGATGTTAGGGTTCCTGCTAGGAGCTCAGCCCCACCCTGTTTGCTCAAGGAAGGGCTGGAGCAGGTGAGTTAGCCCAGCAGGGGCCAGACGCAGGGCAGCACCAGCCCTCCCTCCCTTGGCCACCCCCCCCACTTGGTCCAGGGGGCCTGCTGGAGCCTGGCACCAAAAGCAGCTGGGCCGGTTTGGGGAGACGGAATGGGTTGGGGGAGGCAAAGGAGAAAGGGACCGGGCACTGGAACCAGAGAGATGGTGTTCAAGTCCCAGTTCTGCCACTTATCTCTGTGCCTGGAGGCTAATTACCTAACCTTCCTGAGCCTTAGTCTCCTTCGCCTGTGCAATGGTGAGAATAACAGCACCAATCTCTTAGGGAGGCTGTGAGGGTCACTGAAGTCCTTTTGTAAAGGAGCCAGGCCCCCCGGCTCCCACCATAACCCCTCTCTAGGGTCATGGAAGTCAGTGGGAGGAGCCAGCAGCTTCCCCAGTCCTCCTTCCTTCTTTCTCTGTTTCCCTCTAGGGGAAGGGGAGTTACAGCCAGCCCTGCCTGGAGCAAGCACTAGGGCGGTCCCAGGCCTCTCAGAAGAGGTGACTTTGTTTCCACTGCAGGTTCAGACCTTCACGCCAGAGAACCTCCTGTTTGTGTCCACCCTGGATGGAAGTCTCCATGCACTGATCAAGCAGACAGGGGACTTGAAGTGGACGCTGAAAGACGGTAAGCAAGGGCAGTCACTCCTCCCTCCTTGGATCTCGCGTTGGGGGGAGGTCACCTTGGCGTGGACGATAAGAACATGGGGTCTAGAATCCAAGAAGCAGGTGTCCGCAGGCAGCTTTACCACTTACCAGCTGTGTGACTTTGGGAAAGTCACTTCACCTCTCTGAGCCTCAATGTCCTCACCTGTAAAAGGGGGCCAAGGGTAACAACCCTACCTCACAGAGTCCTTGGGAGGATTACATCACACTCGTGACAAATGCTTGGCTTGGTGTCTGGCACTTTCAACGGGGAGTCTACTCATGCCCCTGTCCCTGTCCCTACAGATCCCATCATCCAGGGGCCCATGTACGTCACAGAGTAAGTGGACCCCAAGGAGCGGGCAACTGAGAGATGGGGAAGCCATAGTTGCCTGGAGGGGCGGGTGGGCTGGAAGCAAGGGAGAAGATTTGGGTCCGGAGCTCTGTGGTGCCTCCTTTGAGGGTGGGCCCCTACTGGCAGGGAAGTTGGAGGGGAGGAGCCCTCTTGGAACCAGGGGGCGTGCACCCAACCTTCTCCCGTTCCTCTCTGCCCCACAGGACAGCCTTTCTCTCAGACCCAGCTGATGGCAGCCTGTACATCTTGGGGACGCAGAAACAACAGGGATTAATGGTGTGTTTCCTACAGTGCCTGGGATGGGTGAGGGTCAGGGCTTCTGTTAGCCAGAGCACTGAAAGGGTGCAGGGCTGTATGGTCAGAATCCAAGTGTCCTGCAGAGGGTGAAGTCTGAGAGCACTGGGGGAAGGCTGTCTGGAGGGGTCTGTTGAAAGGGGGTAGTAGGGTGACTCTGGCTGTGTCTGCAGAGCAGGCTGACCGGATGACTGTCAGGCCTCTGAGGGCGTCACGGGGGGTTCTCCAGGGGACTCTGAGGGTTTTAAGGGGAAACCTATGTATCAGTTAGCTTGTGCTAAATAACAAATTGCCCCCAAACTCAAACTTAAAATCCAAACCATTTATTTAACTCATCATTTTGTGAGATGACAGTTTAGGCTGGACTCAGCTGGGTGGCCTTGACTGAGTTTGCCCAAGCATCTGTGGTCCACTGCCGGTCAGCTGGCTCTCTTTCTGAAAACTGGTTGGTAGTTGGCTGGCTTTTGATGGGGGCAACTGGGCCAGGGGTCTCTCATCTTTTAACAGGCAAGCCTGGGCTTGTTCACATGGTATCAACAAGGGAGCCAGAAGCAGCAAGAGAGGGCGAGGCCAGTGCATGAGCATTTTTCAAGCTTTGCTTATACAGTCGTCCCTTGGTATCCACAGGTCAATCGTCCCCCACCACCCAAATCCAAGGATGCTCAAGTCCCTTATATAGAATGGCACAGTATTTGCATATAACCTACACGCATCCTCCCATATACTTTATTTTTTTTCATATTTATTTATTTATTTTGGCTGTGCCTGGTCTTAGTTGTGGCATGCGGGATCTTTATTTAGTTGCAGCATGTGGGATCTTTTAGCTGCGGCATGCATGCGGGATCTAGTTCCCCGACCAGAGATCGAACCTGGGCCCCCTGTACTGGCAACGCGGAGTCTCACCCACTGGACCACCAGGGAAGTCCCCCTCCCATATACGTTAAACCATCTCTAGATTACTTATAATATCTAATGCAATGTAAATGGTATGTAAATAGTTGGCAAGTGTGCGGCAAATACAAGTTTCGCTCTTTGAAACTTTCTGGAACTTTTTTCCCCCAAATATTTTCAATCTGCGTTTGACTGAATCTGTGGGTTCGGAGCCAGCGGATAGGGAGGGCCGACGGTACCGCATTCGCTAAAGTCTCATCAGCCAAAGCTGGTCCCGCGCAGAGTCAGGCAGTGTCAGAATTCTGACTGTGCCATGGGATGCCTACCGGGATGGTCTTACGCATGTGATTTAGGAAACCGAATTGGTAAGAAATGTTAGCACGTAAGCAGGCAAGGTCCCAGCAAACAGGTGGCACACTACAACAGGAGAGTTTGAGGCGGTTTTATTAACGGGATTCCTTACAAAGGTGTGGGCCGAGGTAGGAAACCGCAGGGCAGGGTGCTGTGTCCTGTGGCCCATACCGTGGGGTGCCACTTATCAGCCCTAAGCTCAGAGGAGGGGAAGGATCCAGAGGGGGCTTGAGGAGAGGACCACCGGGAAGGAGCTGAGGCCTTTGGGGGAGGGACACAGCCAGCCCTCGATGACTCTGTGGAGAGGAGACCCAGGAACACTCGCCCTGATTCTGCCCCCTCCCCGTATCCCAGCCCCCGACTGGAAGCAAGAGCACAGGGCGCCCACTGGTGGAATCTGAACAAGTATGTCTCCCATGGGGAGGGCCGGGTGGAGAGTGGACCTCCAATCCCATCCAGCTCTGGGGGTCATCGCTGGGTCTTATGGGCAGGTGTGGTTGGGAGTCTCATCACTCTCCCTGCATCTGGGATAAAGTCCAGTCGCCCTGACAAAGCACACCAGGGCCAGCTCACTCGTGCAGTCTCTTTGCTCGCCTACAGGCACCCATGCTTGCACACACCTGCACACACACCGATCAACTTACTGAATGTGCCAGCTCTGGGGCTTCACCCAGCTTGTCCCCAAGAGTCTGGAACCCTCTTCCATTCTGCCTCTGTTTCCCCAACTCAGTCAGGATGAGCCGCAGCACACTGCGACAACAGCACACAAAGCTCCGTGGCTCCAGAGAGCTTGCTTCCTGCTTACAGCGTGTGCCCAGCGTTGGTCCCCCAGGGGCTCTGTACACTGTGGTCTACTGGAGACCCAAGCTGTTAGACACTCTGTCGCAACCGAGGCTTCTCAGTCACCAAAGCAGAAAAGGAGAACGAGGTGAAGCACACCCTGGCTCTTGTAGTATCCATGTGGACCTGGTCTCTTCTGCTCCCTCCCTCTGGCTAAAGCAAGTCTCATGGCTGTGCCCACTTTAAGCAAGAAAAGAAATATAATCCACCAGGAGCCCAGAAGAAGAAGCAGAATATTTGTGAGAAGTGCTCCCCTTCCCCTGGCTGTTTCCTACTCATCCCTCAAGTCCCAATGTAACAGCCAAACTCCTTCCCAGTCCGTGATCTTGCCTCCAGCTGACCTTACTTTCGGCCACTCTGCCCGTCTCCATCCCCACTCCTGGTGCACTGGCCTCCTTGCTGTTCCTTAAACATGCCAGTTGGTAGGTGGCCCTGCATTCTGTCCCTCTGCCCAGAGCACTCCCTCCACATGACCCTGTGGCTTACTCCTCCCTTGGCTTGGGTACTTACTCCCTAGCTGGGCTATGTGATATAACATCTCAAATCAGTGTCTATCCTAGTTCTCCGAGTTTGTTTTAATAATATTTACCACTACCTGGCATTATGGTTTATGTGTTTTTGTTTGTTTATTATCACACACACACACACCAGAAATGTAACTCTGTGCAGAAGGGCACTTGGTCAGTCTTGGTTACAACAGAGTCCGCACCTGGCTAGTAATAGGTGCTCATTAAACGGTTGTTGAATGAATGAATAAACAACTGAACTTCTTCCATCAGTCATCTTCAGTCCCCTACATCTGCATCAGGTACCCTCAACTTCATGTGCTCCCCTGTCATGCACTAACCGTACCAACCATAGGTTGTATGGACTTCTTTTGTTATCCATACTGACTGAGGCCCCGGGAAGCCCTGACTCTCTTTCCCTCAGTACTTGCTTGTGCCTGGGGTGCTGTCTGGCAAGAGCTCTGTATGTGGAGTTTGGGGATCTTTTTCACTTTGATATAATTTCAAATGTAAGGAAAAAATGCAAAGATAGTTCAGAGCAATTGTTTATTCCCTCTACCCAGATGCGTCAATTTTTAACATCTTATCACTTTCACTTTATCATTCTCTCTTAACAGATGGATAATATTACACATGTGTGTATAAAATTTCTTTTTCTGAACTATCTGAGAATGAGTTGCAGACATTATGCTCCTTTTCTCCTAAAGCGTCATTGTGTATTCCTAAAACAAGGATTTTCTCCTACATAGCCTGAGAGTAAATTATCAAAATCAGCAGATTTAACACTGATACAATAGTGTTATCTAATCCACAATCCATATTAATTTTGTCAAGTTCCTAATGGTGTGCTTTATTGTTTCCAGTCCAGAACCCAAACCAAGATCACCCCTTGCATTTGGTCCTCATGTCTCTTGGGTGGAACAGTTCCCCAGCCTCTCCAAGGTTGTCATGGCCACTGAAGTTTTCAAGTCTCAGCAAGTGTTTTTGAGGTGGTCAGGCCAGGATCATGTGATCAGGCGGCATCTTGGCACTGGGAGTGGGATTTTCTGCAGCTCCTCAAGAGGTTGTGTAGCAGAGTGGTTAAGTGTGAGGGGTCTGGAAACTAACTGGCTATGCTCAAGACCTGGCTCTGCTACTTACCAGCTGTGTGATATTAGCCACATTACTTAGCCCCTCTGGGAATGGATATGATAATAATTGTACCTAATGAATAGGTTGTATGTGCTTCTCTGCTATTTCCACTCCCCAGAGACTGCCGTTCACCATCCCCGAGCTGGTTCATGCCTCCCCCTGTCGCAGCTCTGACGGCGTCTTCTATACAGGTAAGCATCTCTCCAGCCTGGAGTCCTGGTCCAGCAGGGACTGGACCTAGGTCAGGACAGGCCAGCTAGGCACAGCACGGAGAGGCTGCACACCCTCTCCAGGCCATCTTGAGAGCAAGCACATTTCCCACCTCCACAGGCCGGAAGCAGGATGCCTGGTTTGTGGTGGACCCTGAATCAGGGAAGACGCAGATGACCCTGACCACAGAGCGACCCTCTACCCCCCGCCTCTACATCGGCCGGACGCGTGAGTCAGGCCCCAGCTGCTCCTCGAGCTCTGGGCAGCCCCCCTTTTGCTCTGCCCAGGCCTGGCAATTGCTATTCACGCTGGGTCCAGGCCAGTCAATCACTCTGTCAGTCAACAAACACTTCCCTGAGCACTGAACAAGGAGCGGGGGACACAGCAGTGACCAAAACAGACCTAGTTTCTGCTATCCTGATGCTGTTTGAAGACTCTGGCCTCCAGGCTGGGTGCTCGGGAAGCCCCCGCCCCCATGAGATGATGTCCCCCGGGTGGGAGTAGAGGAGCACCACGTGGGCGCTCCTGGTAACCCTGCTTCTGGGTGTCCCCAGAGTACACGGTCACCATGCATGACCCTAGGGCCCCAGCCCTGCGCTGGAACACCACCTACCGCCGCTACGCAGCAGCCCCCGTGGACGGCTCACCTGGGAAATGTGAGTGCCTCCCTTCTCTGGCTCCACCTTGGAGTAAGGTCCCCAACTCAGGGAACCCTGAGTGGTGTCCACGACCAACCCCACCACATTCTGACCCACCTGAACTCCGGAGGGACCCCACGTACTGAATGACACACCCCTGATAGACAGCCCTAAGTGACCCCTCTCGACACCCAGCCTGACCCTCCTGTACCCTGAGCAGCTCTTAACATCCTAATTCCTCTGCACTCCCAATGAGCCCAGCCAGGTCACCCTGGGTGCTCCCCACCTCCTGAGTGACCCCAAACAACCCCTGCACACCCTGAGCAGTCCCCCAAGTGTTGAACGACCCCTGACAGATGACCCTAAGTGACCTCCCCCAGACTCACCATCCCCTTGATATTATAACTGTCCTTCCCTATGTTTCCTAAAACTGTACAAATGTTAGATTTTTAATCTTTGGTAATATGATATTACAAAGAAATTGCGTTTCTTCTGTTATTGTTCAGCTCAGTCATCTTCATATATGCTTAATCCTTCTAGTCACTTGGGTTATTTCATCTTCTTCTTTTTTTTTTTTTTGTTTCATTTCCCTTGGTATATCAGTGTCTTTGTTACTGGTTTCTAAGAACTCATTTATGACTAAGGATGCTAACCATTTGTCATGTAATGCAAATGAAACGCCATATTTTATTGCCATCAATTTACTATGGTGTTTTGTATTTTAGTTGTGTATTAAAATATAATCATGTTGTGTTTTTAAAAAAATAATAACTCTCCTTCCCAAATGCCTGAGTGACCCCAAAGGTGCCCCAAGCCACCCCTCAGACCCTGACTCCACCATTCCACGTGAGAACTCATGCAGGCGACCTTGACACATCACAGGTGACACCCACAGGGCCCCTGGTGGACACCCTTCACCTTCTAAATGACTTCCACGCTACCCACATGTCTCCAGACCACCCTGATTGACCAGCAGCCAGACCATGACTGACTACCCCACATCCTAAGAGACAAGGACTGATTCACACACCTGAGTCGCCTTTGGATGACCACGACTGACCCCCTACGTCTTACACAGCTGCCAGTTGACCCTGATCAAAGTGACCCAGTGAACTTCCTATGTCCTGATTACCCTCCAGGTGATCTCACCTGACCTCCACGTACCTGAGTGGCCCTCCTGATGGCCCACCCTCAGAGCAGCTTCCCCACCTCAAGGTGCTCCGAGGTGCCTCAGGTCAGGGCTCCCTGACCACATCTCCTAGCCACCTTTCTTGGCAGACACGAGCTACCTGGCATCCTGTGGGATGGGCCTGCTGCTAACGGTGGACCCAGGAAGCGGGGCGGTGCTGTGGACCCAGGACTTAGGCGTACCTGTGGTGGGCGTCTACACATGGCACCAGGACAGCCTGCGCCAGCTGCCCCATCTCACACTGGCTCGGGACACCCTGCACTTCCTTGCCCTCCGCTGGGGCCACATCCAACTGCCCGCCTCAGGCCCCCAGGACACCGCCACTCACTTCTCTGCCTTAGACACCCAGCTGCTGTAAGTGCCCACGCCTGGGGACTGGGGAGGAGCTTCTGCAAGTGTTGTAGCCCAGGTCCAATGGGCAGGTGTGATGTCCGACCATGACACGCCGGTGCAGCTGAACCAGGGGTCAAAATATTTCAAGCAGTTTGGTAAATAACCAGTGCCCTGCACCACCCCCCATGTGCTCCCAGGACCCCCTGGTTGGCCCCACTGTTCAGCAACTGATAGGGTAAAGTCTGGCCTAGGAGGGGCCTCCATGTCTCCACCCCAGTGCTACAGCGGGCACCTGTTATGCTTGGTAGGTACTATGTGTTTACTGATTGTTGAAAACTTTAAATATGACCCTTCCTTGCAACACCAAATACATTAGTGTCCCCATCTTGGGGAGCCGGGAGACAGACTGGGAAAATTGCGGATTACCCGTTCTTTCAGTTCATCCCACAAATATTAATTGAGCACTTGCTATGTAGCAATTGCTTGCTAGGCTCTGGGAGTACAGTAATACAGCCAGTGTTCCTACCTACAAAAATCTCAGAGTCTAGTAGGGGAGACAGGTACGTAAAGACGTAATCATAATATGGTATGATAAAGGATGAGATAAGAGAAGTATAGGGTGTCATGGGAATGTATAGGAAGGGCATTGAAATCAAGACTGGGGGCAGAAGGTAATCATAGAAAGCTTCCTAGAGGAAGGGACCTATAAGTTGAAACCTAAAGGATGAAGAGGAAACGAGAGAGAGAGAGAGAGAGAGAGATCATGGCAACCAGGGAACAGATTAAGTTAACAAAATAAATAAGGCTGGAGCACGGCTCTGAGCAGAGAATAAGGTCTGAGGCTGTTAAACAGGGATCTTGTAGGATCATTTAAAGGGTTTGGGACAAGGCTAAGGAGAAGCCACTAGAGGGTTTTAGGCAAAGAAGTGATTTGATCGTATTTTCATTTCAGAAAGATAACTGGCTGCAGTGTGAAGAGTATCTTAGAATTGTGGGGAGGAAGTGTTCACAGAATATTGCATTAGTTCAGGCAGGAGATGAAGACACTTTGGACCAGGGCAGAAACGCTAGAGTTGGAAATAAGTGGAGGGTAACAGATATTAAGAGGAAAAACCAGTACGAATTTGGTGATTAGAGCAAGGAGTCAACCATTTTGCTCAGGTTTCTAGAGACGCATGAGTGCGGTCGTTTTCAAAGGTAGGGAGCACTGGAGGAGGAAGTGGTGGGGGTGAGGAGGAAGTGGGGGAAGAAGGGGGGAGGAAGTGGGGGAAGAAGGGGGAGCTAAGGAATGAGGAGATGAGTTCAGATTTAGAAGATTGAGCTCATGGAAGAGGTCTGGGCTAGAAATAGATTTAGAAACAATGACTACAGAGCTTGTATCAGTTAGCTTTTGCTATATAACAAATCAGCCCCAAAATTTAGAGCTTCAAAACAAACAAACATTCATTATTTTTCAAGATTCTGTGGGTCAGCTGGGTGGTTTTCTGGCTTGAGCAGCCAGATGGTGGCTTGGCTGGGCCTGGACAATCTAGAATAGCTTCACTCAGCTCTCTCGTAGTTGGTGGACTATTTAGCCTATGGGATGTCAAATGAGGTCTCTCATGCCCCTGCAGACTAGCCTGGGTTTCCTTCTTTGGTGGTCCCGGGGTTCCAAAGAACCCCATGAGAGGGCAAACGCCAGTGCACAAGCATTTCTCAAGACTGTGTTTGTGTCACATCTGCTATTGTCTCACTGGCCAAAGCAAGTCACTTGGCCCAGCCCAGAGTCAGTGTGGGCAGGGATAATACAAGGAAACGGGTACTACGGTGACTGAAACTACCCACCACCATCACTCATTCTCCTCCCCCTTTTCCTCTCCCCCACTAGGATGACGCTGTATGTGGGGAAGGATGAAGCTGGCTTCTATGTGTCTAAAGCACTGGTTCACACAGGGGTGGCCCTAGTGGTGAGAAGGTTCTCTGAGGGGCTGGAAAGAGGGGATAGAGCAGGAGAGAAGTCTCCCCCCACCACTCCTGACTCTCCACCTTCTTCCATAGCCTCGTGGACTGACCCTGGCCCCCACGGATGGCCCTACCACAGATGAGGTGACACTCCAAGTCTCAGGAGAGCGAGAGGGCTCACCTAGCACTGCTGTCAGATACCCCTCAGGCAGTACGGCCCTCCCTAGCCAGTGGCTTCTCATTGGTGAGACCCCCTCTACCCAAATTTAGAGTGGATAAAGGATCTGTGAGCTCAGTTTATGAGCTGGAAGGCTGAGATCACCTCCAACCCATTGACATTTTCCCTGCCCCTTAGGACACCATGAGCCACCCCCAGTCCTGCACACGACCATGCTGAGATTCCATCCCACCCCAGGGAGTGGGACTTCTGGGACCAGACCCTCAGGGGGCACCCAGGCCCCAGCTCTCTTCTTGGAGGTCAGTGCTAGAGGGGTAGAGGGCATGGGGGGAGGTGCGGCAGCGGGGGTGCAGCCCTTGGACCTTTTCCTCAGGCTTCTAGGAATAACATTCGGGGTGGGTCAACTGACCTCACAATTTCTCGGAAGGAAAAGTTTCATTTGTTGTTATTGCCAGAAGAGTGTTAGAAGTGTTAAAAAGATATTGGCTATCTAAATTGTGAAACATGGGTCACAGTTTTCTTTATTCTTCTTCAGTTTAAAGTTTACAAAATATTTATCAAGTGAGAAAATGAAAATGGAAAAACTATAAAAGCATGTCCTCCTGGGAGAGGACTGGACAAGAGTTGCCAATAGTTCAAGTTTAGAAGGAACAGGCATGACCTGGAGACGTAATTCTCAAATCTGGTTGCTTATCAGAATCACCTAGGAGCCCACTCCACCCGCCCCCCCTGAATTCAGAATCTCTGGAGGTGGATATCTGAATTTTTTGGTGATGCCCCAAGAGTATCTGAATTTTTAGTGATACCCCAGGAGATTGCTTGTCCTCAGCTAGATCTGAAAGACCAGTCCACTGGGGCACCATGGTGTTTCAGCAGCATGGAGAGTGCCAGGTTTCCCACCACTCACTCATCACCCCTTCAGCTAAGCCCAGCCCTATACTGGGTCATGAAGAAGGGTTAGGGGTTCCACAGTGGGAGGGGCTGCTAAGAGTGAAAGGTTCTTTGTCCCCAGCTCCTGAGCCTGAGCCGGGAGGAACCTTCGAACCTGGAGCTGCATCCTGAAGAGAAAACCCCAGACCTGCATCCAGGACTGGGACCCCAAGACCTGCTGGCAGCCAGCCTCACTGCTCTCCTCCTGGGAGGATGGATTCTCTTCCTGATGAGGCAGGTAAGCCCATCATCCCTGGCCTCAGGCCCCTCTCATGGTCTTCCTAGGGGGAACTCTGGTTCTCTTCTCCAAGACCACTTGGCAACTTTCTCCCTCACCCAGATCCAATTCTGCCCCCTGCTGTCCTCTTGGCAGCTCCCAGAGCCCTTGATACTGTGCTCTTTATGCCAGTGCTCCAGGGACAGGCCATCTCAGGCACAGCTTCTGGGCCCATCATGGGTCAGGGGCTGGCCAAGGCTGGGCCCTCTTAGGCCCCCATGTTTCAGCAGCAGCAACAGCAGCTGGCAGAGAAGCAGTGGCAGCAGGCCCCCCTGGCACCTGCAGGCCCGTCTCACATCTCACAGGATGCTCAGTCTCAGCCCTCCGGGGCCACCCCACGGAGCCGCAAGAGGTTTCAAAACCCCCCAGAGCAAGACCAGCCACTCGAAGACCCTGAAGGTGAGCTTACATGAACAGGAAAGGACAAAGTCAGGGACAGAAAAGAGAGGGGAAGATTTAGCTTCAAAGTCGGTGTATTAGAAGCCACTATAGTGGGGTAGCCAGGCCTAAATGAGTTAACAGGAGAGAACGTCAAATAGTGCCTGCTATGTAGTTCAGCCCTCTGAAAATGTTTTCCATCATTTTTACTGTTGTCGTTATGTTCAAGGACCCTGGATGCAGATAGAACTGGGTATAGATCTAACTCTACTAACTGTTAACTTTGATGAATTGCTTAACTCCTCTGAGCTCCAGTTCTCTCATCTGTCAAATGGGAATAATAACACCCACCCCATGACATCACTTCATGATGAGAGGTTACATCACCATTACTATTAAATCAGACTATGTGATGTTATTAATATTTGTGTTAAAATAACATCATATTTGGTAACAATAATAGTAAATCACCTAGGTACCATTTGGTTCCTTTTCTCTTTAGGGCTTTTTATTTTTTAAACGTTTCTCTTCTCTTTTCTCAATTTCATCCTATAAACAAGCCCTTTCAAGCTTCCTCTGGAATCTGTGGGATGTCCCAGGGCAACTCCCACATGCTTTTAGTGGTCAGTCCAGGCTACTTCTCTCCTGTTTCTTTGGCTCCGGGCTGGGCTGGCCTCGGTCCTTTGTGTGAACTGCTGCTGGACCCTCCTGTCACTGCTCAAACCACTGCCTTGGAGCCTTGGAGCCACTCTGCTGTGCCCTTAACTCAGCGTGAAGTCCGCCCCATGCTTGGCGTGCGGCTCCCGTGCTGCTCCCAAAGTTCCCCCTTGCGTTCGCCTCCCTGTGCTGAGAGGGAAGCAGCTCTCTTCCTCGGGGCTCAGCTCTTGTAGAAAGCCCCCCACTGCCGAGTTGCCTGAGCCCTGAGAGCTGCAGTTCCAGTCACTTTACTGGCTCTGGGTGGGTCCAAGTAATACTCACCCCACTGCACCCTGAAACACTCATCTCCTTGGACCTTCTGACTCGAGCCAAGTCTTTCCCCAGATGACCCAGACTCCACTTGTCCCAGGTGGTTCTCGTCAAATGACCTTGCTGTTCCTCCTGCCATCATCGTTCAGGTGTCCCTCACGACCCCCGTCCACAGTCCCAGTCATTGACAGGATGGAATTCCTTCCCCAGACGTCTCAGTCCCCTTGTGAGTCCGCAGATACCGATAATCCTCAGAGGAGGAGAAAAAAAGATGTTGAATCCCAGCCCTGGCTCATCCTTGATATATAAAACACTTAAACTTCTTTACTCACTATAAGAAAATAATCAAAGTGATATCAGTGCTTCAGGACAAGAATCCCAGCTAGAGCTTGGTACCTTTGTTACAAAACTCAGTGGTAACAATCTCTTTATAATACTGGATTCCCTCTGGAATTGAAAAGAAACCTTTCTATTTCTTTCACTTTCTTCGTTTAAAGTTTTCATAAACTTTACTTTGGTGTTTTCATGACCTCTAGGCAAAGCCAGGAAAGGACAGGCTGTTACTAGGCTCTGTGATAAATGCTGTGATGGGGTTGGGGAGGCTACAGGGAGCTATAGGAACACAAAGGAGGGGCATGTAGCTCAGACATGGGGACGTGGGAATTGTCCTGAAAGGCAAGTCTAAGCTGTGATCCCAAGGGTAAGAAGGAATTACCCAGGTGAACAGGGAGGGGGACAGCAGCAGTCCAGGTGGCACCAGTAGCACAGGCGAAGGTTCAGAGATGAGAGGAAGCGGGTACACATTCCGGAAGCTGAAAGGAAGGTGGCAATCTCATGCTCATGGGTAGGTCAGGTGGATAGAGTAAACAAGTGAAGCAGCCACATAGGAGAGAGAATAGGGCGTGATGGGACTGTGGTAAACTGGAGAACAGGTGCTTGGGCTCAGCCTGCCTTGCTTACTGCTGCAATCTCGACCCAGAGCATGGCTCAGGGAATATCTGTTGAGGCAGTGGCTGACTGGCCACTGCAGGTTCTTAAACAGCCCTTCTCAACTCAATAAATATATATGGAGTGAATATGTGCCGAGCAGGTGTGAGGAACAGGCAGAGTTAATAGGCTGGGACTTGCCCATCCAATAGGCAACAATATGGAGTCCAGTGTATCAAAAATCTTTAGTGCAGGGAGAGTCAAAGAAACGAATGTGGCAGATGGCAGAAGAGCTTCGAGAACCACTCTCCAAAAGAGCCCCTGCCACACTGGCACCGTGTGGCAACCTATTCTTATTCTTAGGACCTCTATGTCAGGAACTCTGACTTTGGAAATCTTGCTTCTCCTTTTGGTGCGGGGAGAACAACGTTCCTCGGGACCTTTTTATGGTTCACAAAATCTACAGCGGGGTCCTGTCCCACTCTCATTTAACCTCCACAAATCCATCTACACGTGCCTGGTTGGGTGTCCTCCAGGACCACCGGCTACATGGTGCATTCAGCGGCAAGTGGGCGCACTCAAGCCTGAACCAGAGTTAACACTGAGAGCTCACATTTATATGGCGCTTACTGTGTACCGGGCACTTTCCTAAATGCTGTGCGTGCATGAACTCGTATGATAGTCACAACATTTCTGTGAGGCGGATACTATCATAACGCTGATTTTATGGAAGAGAAAATGAAAGGTTCACGGCACCCCACCCCAGACTCACAAAGCCAGTAAGGAGCAGCTCAGGAACTCAAAAGCAGGTCAACTCTGGGATGTTGCCTCTGTTTGCATTTTGGCAATACCCATGAAGACAGGTGACCACTTTAATGGTTTCCCAACCCGTGTACAAGAAGCAACACAATACATCACATGTTCTTGAGGTTTTCAGAGGGAATTCTGACTGTACACTGCTTCCCCATCGTGTGACAACTTTTGATTACTTTAGAACTTCTCTCCTGCCTTTGCTGCTTCTCCATTACCATGATATGGAAGGCTGAGCAAATGGTGAATATGTTTGTGCAGACTGAGCCTCCCGGCTCATTATTATTATTGTTTTTTTTTTTTTTAAACATCTTTATTGGGGTATAATTGCTTTACAAGGGTGTGTTAGTTTCTGCTTTATAACAAAGTGAATCAGTTATACATATACATATGTTCCCATATCTCTTCCCTCTTGCGTCTCCCTCCCTCCCACCCTCCCTATCCCACCCCTCCAGGCGGTCACAAAGCACCAACCCAATCTCCCTGTGCCATGTGGCTGCTTCCAACTAGCTATCTACCTTACCACGTTTGTTAGTGTGTATATGTCCATGACTCTCTCTCGCCCTGTCACAGCTCACCCTTCCCCCTCCCCATAACCTCAAGTCCGTTCTCTAGGAGGTTTGCGTCTTTATTCCTGCCTTACCCCTAGGTTCTTCATGACATTTTTTTTTTCTTAAATTCCATATATATGTGTTAGCATACGGTATTTGTCTTTTTCTTTCTGACTTACTTCACTCTGTATGACAGACTCTAGGTCTATCCACCTCATTACAAATAGCTCAATTTCGTTTCTTTTTATGGCTGAGTAATATTCCATTGTATATACGTGCCACATCTTCTTTATCCATTCATCCGATGATGGGCATTTAGGTTGTTTCCATCTCCGGGCTATTGTAAATAGAGCTGCAATGAACATTTTGGTACATGACTCTTTTTGAATTTCGGTTTTCTCAGGGTATATGCCCAGTAGTGGGATTGCTGGGTCATATGGTAGTTCTATTTGTAGCTTTTTAAGGAACCTCCATACTGTTCTCCATAGTGGCTGAACCAATTCACATTCCCACCAGCAGTGCAAGAGTGTTCCCTTTTCTCCACACCCTCTCCAGCATTTATTGTTTCTAGATTTTTTGATGATGGCCATTCTGACTGGTGTGAGATGATATCTCATTGTAGTTTTGATTTGCATTTCTCTAATGATTAATGATGTTGAGCATTCTTTCATGTGTTTGTTGGCAGTCTGTATATCTTCTTTGGAGAAATGTCTATTTAGGTCTTCTGCCCATTTTTGGATTGGGTTGTTTGTTTTCTTGTTATTGAGTTGCATGAGCTGCTTGTAAGTTTTAGAGATTAATCCTTTGTCGGTTGCTTCATTTGCAAATATTTTCTCCCATTCTGAGGGTTGTCTTTTGGTCTTGTTTATGGTTTCCTTTGCTGTGCAAAAGCTTTTTAAAAACTTATTTATTTTTAGCTGCATTGGGTCTTCACTGCTGCGCCCATACTTTCTTTAGTTGCGGCGAGTGGGGGCTACTCTTCGTTGCGGTGCACAGGCTTCGCGGGCTTCTCATTGTGGTGGCCTCCCTTGTTGTGGAGCACGGGCTCTAGGTGCGTGGGCTTCAGTAGTTGTGGCGCACGGGCTTAGTTGCTCCGTGGCATGTGGGATCTTCCCGGACCAGGGCTCGAACCTGTGTCCGCTGCATTGGCAGGCAGATTCTTAATCACTGCGCCACCAGGGAAGCCCCCTGGCTCATTATTTCTGCATTCAAGGCCAGAAGTCTGGCCTCCATCCCAGCATTGAGGGTGCTCCTGAAACTAGAGTTAGTTTTGAATCTAACCCAGAAAGCACATAGCAAGTCTTCACCTCATGCCAAGGGCATCCAGAGCAGGGAAGGCAGACACATAAGAGACAGGAAACGCAGCAGAACGAAGCAAGTAGGTACAGAAGAGGGGTCGGAAGTGCTCAGGGACCCTCACCTGGAGCCAGCTGATCATGGCTGGTTCAAATAGGCTTTCCCGCAGCTCTGTCCCTGCTTCCTGAGCTGCCGGAGAGACAGGCCCATCTTACTTGTGGGCGATGTGCTTCCAGCAAGGCCCTGGGCCCACACGCCTGAGTGTCCATGGTATACAAATTTCGGTTACTGCTTGCATCTCGTCAGGAGATGAGAGTGACTGTTTAAGCCAATAATCCAGAGCAGTGCTGAGGGACAGCTTAATACTTTTCTCACTGAACCCTGATGCTGATTTTCATTTGCTTTTCCAAGAGCTGATTAGAGAGACTGAAGCTGGCAGCTCTTCCTAAGGAGAGTGTTCTCAGGGCCACGGAGGGGCACACAGCTCTAGGGGCACCAGATACACTTAGCTGCGAGCATGGGGCCCCTTGGATCTGAGCAAGGTGCAGCCTGGTGCATTGTGAGGGGTCTCTTGCAAGCAACCCAAAAGGAAGAGCAGTAACAGTCCAACCTCATCCTTCTTAACAGGAAACCAAGGCCTTCTGGGGAATCCCTGCTGCCCTAGAACTAACTCTGGGACAGCTCAGCATCCAAACGCCCACTGACCCCGCCCCGCCCTCTTCCAGGACAGTCTTTTCTGCAACAGCATTCACCCTCCTCACGCTTACGGCTGCCAAAACTCACCTTCCTGTTGGAAGCGAATTCCTTAGTTAAAAGGGTTTATAACTGGTGGAGGTGGGTAAAGGAAAGAAACCTGCGCAGAAGATGCCAAAACAGGGAGAAGGATAAAAGAGGACAATAGAGTGAACCTCTCCCCCACCGTTTCTTCCATTAATCCTCACGATAATATTGTGCAGGATCCTTGACATAGGTCCCACTTTACAGATGAGAGGACCAGGGCACAGCGGTTAAGTCACTCGCCCAAGTTCACACGGATTGAGTGGCAGCACGAGACACTGGACCCAAGCAGTCTGGCACCAGGCGGGGCGTGGAAGGGGGAGGCCGGAGAAGGGCCGAGGTGGGGGAGCTGGGACTGGGCAGGTCTCCCTGAGACCCCCCCCTCTCCCCTCCCCCCAGCCGAGCAGCTCACCGTGGTGGGGAAGATTTCCTTCAATCCCAAGGACGTGCTGGGCCGCGGGGCAGGCGGGACTTTCGTTTTCCGGTGAGCGGCAGCCAGGAGCCAGGCTGGGGATGGCCACTGTCCCTTGGAGAGCCATTCTCTCCGAGAACCCCCGAGGTGGGCACAGTTCCTAACCTTTGCCTTCTTCTGCCCTCTGGACCTCCGCTCGCCACCTCCCAGGGGACAGTTCGAGGGGCGGGCCGTGGCGGTCAAGCGGCTCCTCCGTGAGTGCTTCGGCCTGGTCCGGCGGGAGGTGCAGATGCTGCAGGAGTCTGATAGGCACCCCAACGTGCTCCGCTACTTCTGCACCGAGCGGGGACCGCAGTTCCACTACATCGCCCTGGAGCTCTGCCGGGCCTCGCTGCGGGAGGTGAAACCTGTGCTCAGGGATGGGCGGGGGGGCAGGGTCCTGGGCCGCGGGGTGACCTCTGCCCCTCGCCGCTCCCCAGTACGTGGAACACCCGGAGACGGACCGCTGGGGCCTGGAGCCCGGGATGGCGCTGCAGCAGCTGATGGCGGGCCTGGCCCACCTGCATTCCTTACACATAGGTACCAGCCCCTTCCGCCCTCCATCCAAGCTCCCGACTCTCCCCTCAGCTCTCAACTCTGCTCCGCTCTCACAGTGCACCGGGACCTGAAGCCCGGCAACGTCCTCATTACGGGGCCCGACAGCCAGGGCCGAGGCAGAGTGGTCCTCTCAGACTTTGGCCTCTGCAAGAAGCTGCCTGCTGGCCGCTGCAGCTTCAGCCTCCATTCAGGCGTCCCCGGTACAGAAGGCTGGATGGCGCCCGAGCTCCTGCAGCTCCTGCCCCCAGACAGCCCCGTGAGTCCTCCCGCCGCCCCAGGCCGCAGTAATCATTCCCTGCCCAGTGCCTCTCCTGTCCGGGCCCGCTGTGTGACCTTCAGTCACTCCTCCAAGCCTGTTTCTTCATCTGTAAAGTGGGGATAATTCCTCCCTTCTTACCCAGGGTATGGTTCTTAACCAGGGATGATTTTTGCCACCTTTGGGCAATGTCTGGAGACATTTTTGGATGTCACACTTGGCAGGGGAAGGGAGGCTTGTTACTGCCATCTAATGGGCAGAGGCCAGGGACGCTTGCGAAACATCCTACAACGCACAGGACAGTCCCCCAGGACGAAGAATTATCTGGTCCAAAATGTCAGTAGTACTGAGGTTGAGAAACTCTGAACTAGAAAATAGTTTTCATCTCTACTGTGATGCACAATCACTGGGGAACTTGAAAAAAATTCAGGTGCCCGGGTCCCACACCCAGTAACTGACCCCCAGTGACTGTAACGTGTAGCCAGCGTGGAGAGCCACCCAGATGCGGAGGGTTCGGGGGAGCATCACATGAGCTGATATAACTGGAGCACAGAGCAGTGTCTGACCTCCAGAGACACTTGAGTTGGAGACCCCAGGATTATAGATTTTTGAGTTGGTGTGTAGGGGAAAGTCACAGGCATGGATGAGAGTAACACGCAAGGACAGTCACCAGGCAAAGCCACCCCACCCCTGAAGTTTAGAGAAAGCTAGGATTGGCAACCTGGAGGCCCAAGGACCAAAGCACTGATGTTAGGAGCCTGTGCAGGTTTTGATTTTTTAAATTAGCAGCCAATATTTTAACTTCTGGGAAATTGCACATAAAAGTCTAGATTTCTGGATTCACTTGGAAAATCAAAAGCTCTGCCACCGAGAAAGTCCCCTGGAGGCAACCAGCTGGAGCTAAGTGCCAGTGGCCATGTGTGGACAGGGCCAGCAACAGATCATACAGTCCTCACCGCTGCCTGATCGCCTCATGCGTGCCCAGCTTCACTTGGTTGTGTTGCCCACCAGACTTGGAGGAATGACACTTGGAAACCTAAACTAGAGGCTCAGTAGGGGCAAAGGTTTTGGATGAAAACCATGGGTCCCTTTCAACAGTGCAGAGGGGAGGGGATCTAGGGCCAAGAGGATGCCTCTTGGGAAGTGTCCTTGTGTCCTAGTCCGAGCCAGATCCCCAGCTGCCATATCAGCCCTGGGGAGAATGTAGCCCGGCAGACCTCCTGGAGCAGAGACTTCCTCCTTATGCTTGTCCCTCTGGCCCCCAGACCAGCGCAGTGGACATATTCTCTGCAGGCTGCGTGTTCTACTATGTGCTTTCCAGTGGCAGCCACCCCTTCGGAGAGAGTCTTTATCGCCAGGCAAACATCCTTGCAGGCTCTCCCTGCCTGGCTCACCTGGAGGAAGAGGCCCACGGTGAGGGGGACCTGGGCTGGCAGAGGAGGGAGGAAGCAGGGCAGAGCCTGTGCGGGCCTGAAGCCATCCCTCCCTCTTGCCCCTACAGACAAGGTCATTGCCTGGAACCTGGTGGAGGCCATGCTGAGCCCCCTGCCACAGGCTCGTCCCTCTGCTCACCAGGTGCTGGCCCACCCCTTCTTTTGGAGCAGAGCCAAGCAGCTCCAGTTCTTCCAGGTCAGGAGGAAATCTGGGGAGCGGCCCCAGAAAGTCCCAAGTTTGGGTCCTGAGCAACAAGAGAGGGGAAGCCAGATTGGCTGGGGGAAGAGAGACTCGTCTACCTGTTCCAGGCAGCCCAGATCCTTATCTCAATCAAGGCAGAGCCCAGATTCCCGAACGCTGCCATCTTGGCACTGCACGGTCTCCTCAGCACCGCTTCCCCAGCCCAGCTGCCCCTCATGTGAGGCTAGACCCCGTTCCTTTCAGCCCTAGTCGTCCCTCCTGCTATACTCGTGCCCAGACAGCCCATTCCACTTGTGTGACCTTGAGCCTCTTGAGCCTGTTTGCTCATCTGTAAAACGGGGACGACAGCACCTCTGTCACCGGTTGGATTAGACCCCGCACAGCACAGAGAAGCCACACTCCATAGGAGGCAATAATACTTACCCTAACCCAAGCAGCTTCGGCGGCTGCACTGCCCCAGCCATAGGACACTCCTGGCCTGTGGCCTCCGAGCCCGCTCAGGAGGCTCAGGAGCTGTGGGTCCTAGGACGCCAGCGACTGGCTGGAGAAGGAGCCTGAGCAGGGGCCGCTGGTGACGGCGCTGGAGGCGGGTGGCACCGAGGTGGTCCGGAGTGACTGGCACAAGCACATCTCGGTGCCGCTGCACACAGGTAGAGGCCAGACTCGGGTGGCCCAGGAGGCCGAGGGGAGCCTAGTGGGGACGGCTGTGCCAACGACCTCCCCGTCCACAGATCTGAAGAGGTTCCGGTCGTATAAGGGGACGTCGGTGCGAGACCTGCTCCGTGCTGTGAGAAACAAGGTGTGTTCCAGGGCTTGGGAGGGGCCTGGAAGGTGGGGAGGCCTGGTCCAGCTAAGCCCGGGCTCTCTGCTCTGACCCCTCCAGAAGCATCACTACAGGGAGCTCCCGGCCGAGGTACGGCAGGCGCTGGGCCCTGTCCCTGACAGCTTCGTCCAGTACTTCACAAACCGCTTCCCACGGCTGCTGCTCCACACGTACCATGCCCTGAGGAGCTGCGCCTCTGAGAGCCTCTTCCTGCCCTACTATCCGCCGGCCTCAGGGGCCCAGGCGCTGAGCCTGGGAGCTGCTGGGAGCTGAGCTGGCCTGGCGTCGAAAAGACCAGCAGAGGCTGGGCCGCCAGGGACACCAGAGCAACAGTGTGGCCGGAACCCGGGGGCCAGGCACCCCTCGGGGAACACAAGAAGAAAAAGGAAGATTCATATATGTTTAATGTAATATAAAGGCAAGGAAAAGACAGTCCCGAATTCAATAGCAATATTCTGTACAATTCATATGGTGGGGTTGAGAGGGAAGGGGAAGCGGCCTCAGAACCCACACCGGGACATGTACAAAAATAACTTACACAGCAGCCCCACCTGCAGGGATGATGGAGCTTCCACCCCAGCCCCCAGGGCTGGGGGACACCCCATAAAATAGGGATCTAACCAGCGTGGGCCGAGGTGCTGGTGGGGGGGAGGAGGGTGCCAGTCCAGGGGGGTGGGGGGGCTATGAGGAGGCCTTGAGGCGGTTGGTGGCCGAGCGTGAACTCAGCAGCTTGTCCACCATGGTGCGAGCGTAGCGCAGCCGGCTGGCCAGCTCCTTGGAGCAGCCGTACTCCTCCAGGAGGCTCAGGCGGTACGTGCGGAAGTCCCGCTTCTCGTCGATGTAGGTCACGGCAGCCATCAGCGGGCACAGGATGAGTTTGGTGTGGTCCTGTGAGGGCAGGAGGGGAGCGGGTGGACGGACAGGGGGTTACTGGTGATTGAAGCTCCCAGCTGCCTGTGTGCCTTGGCGGGAGTAGAGGGAAGATATCCTAGTCGATGGTGGGGGGTGGGGGGCATTTCACTCCCTTCTGCTGATGCTGCCAAGGACAGGTCCTGTGCCTCCCACTCCCCACCCAATGCCGTGGGCCACTAAGAGGCACAGATACCTGGCCCCAACCCTCCAGGGCCGCAGCTCACCTGGAAGAAGTTGATCTGCACGCAGCCGTTACTGAGGTGCAGAATGATGGCGCTGCGGGTGCGAAACCAGGTACGCAGGTAGGGTAGCCGGGCTAGCTCGTCACCTTCCCGGGGCGTGATGTTGGCACCCGCCTTCAGCAAGTGTTCGCTCATGTAGTTTCGGAAATACTTGAGGAGGGTGATCTGGTTGGAAAGTGAGGGAGGGCGTCCGGAGTTAGAGCCTGTCCGCTGGCAAAGCCCTCACTCCCGGCCAACAGCAGCCCACGCGGGCCAGCCAGCACTCACCTTCTTTATCAGGGAGTTGGGATGGGAACTCACGGTGAGGTAGGACTCCGTGCCATCACGTTCGATGTACTGCAGGCTGTCACCGTCGTTGTAGAGGATGAGGCGTGTTGAGTCGTTGAAGAGCACTCCCACGCTGTTGTCACACAGCTGGTACCCTAGCGGTAGGTGGAGGGAGGCCTCAGAAAGGGGCCATGGGGGGCAGGGGGCCGTTAGGGGCTGGGACTAGTGAGCCTGGGATGGAGATAGGAGAGTGTCGAGAGAAGAGGACATGGGAGCCAAGAAAGGCAAGAGCCTGTAACAACTCGAAGGGTTGCTAGGTGGCACCTGAGCCACCGCCACAGCTGGGAGAAACGTACCAAGGCCATACTTGTCCGAATAGTCCACCCACTTGCTGACCCAGAAGATGGGGATGCAGGCGGGATCCTCAGCCTCCTCTGGGACAGAAACAGACAAGAAGATCGATCAGCACCAGCCTCTTCCCCTCTGGTCCACTCAGGCGGCCCACACCAGGGAGCTCGGTCAAGAGGCCTGGAGCCCTCTGCCAGCAACAAGCTTAGACAGGCAGCACCGAAGCAGAAAGTTACAGTGCAGAGCGCCGAGTCCACTCATGCATTCAGCTGACCCATTTAACAAAGGCCCGCTGTGCGCCAGACACCGTTACAGGCAGCGAGCAATGACAAAACCCAGCCCTCCCTGAGCTTGCATTCTGGCTCTAGGGATAGAGACCAATCAAAATAAATGTTCACAGAATATGTAAGTTACTTCTATCATGGTGCAAACCAGTGAGTTTTAAATGATTTAAAAATTGTGAGAAGATAGACAATCCCAGATATGTGAAAATGTTATGTTCTGTGCACGTGACGATCCCTTCTTTTAAATACAATAAACAAATACGGAAACTTTAGAATGTGTTAGATGAGAAGTGTTGTGGAGAAACAAGGCAAGTAAGAGGAGTGGGGGCAGGGAGATGATCATGGAGGTGACTCTGGCGCAGACACGTGAAGGCAGGGAGTGTGAGCCTTGCAGTGATCTGGAGGAAGTGCTTGCCGGGAGAGCAAAGGCCCTGAGGCTGGAGCACATCTGGGTCTGTTATTTCCACTGTCTTGAAGGCTACAGAGGGATTCTCTGAGCAGAGGAGACAGTGTGTGCCAATGTATACAGGCAGCACATGGGGGTGCTGGAAGGTGGGGCGCTTGTGGAGACAGAACAGATGAGTCAAAAAAGAAGGAAGGGGCCTGACCATGGAGGGCCTGGGCCAGTAAGCTAACTTGTTTGCACTGTAATGTACAGGAAATGGGGGAAGTAAAGGTATTACGGAGCCAGGGGCCTGGACAAGCCACCAGCACTCTGGGGCTGACTTCCCTGCCCTCTCCAGATGCCCCGGCCCGCAGTGCCCACCTTGCCTCACCAGCCCCCGCTCTGAGGGCTTGGAGGCGTTGACGCTGTGAAGCTGCTGCAGCATGTCGCCAAGGTGGCAGTCGACCGCCTCGCTGGCCTCCCGCACCACTGGCTCCTCTTTTTCCCGGGGACGCTCGGGCATGGGGTTCTCCATGCCTGGAAGGAGATGAAACAGTCATTAGCTGGGCAAAAAGGCCGCAGGTTGGGAGGGCCCAGGATCCCCGGCCACAGCTGGTACTGCCCCCAGAGAAAAGCTCTTTGCACTGCCACTGCTTTAGGTAGGTGCCAGGTTATTAGAGCAGCAGCTGCCCTGCTCATGTGACAGCACCTGGTACTCACTCATTGGTACCTCCAGGGCCAGGCCAAGCCCTGTAGGAAGGCTCATGGCCACACAGAGCCATAGAGCTTCGGACACTCAGACCTCTAACCCAATGCTGGGCCCTGCAGGGCACCTCTGGTCACTCAGGGAGACAGCTAGAAGGCACGAGCAGCTTGGAGCTGCCTGGCTTCAATCCAAGAATTAAAAGCATCTTTTGCATCCAGGAAAATGGAAGGGCTCAGTAAATCACAACCCATCAGCAAGATGGATTTAGCAGGCATTTAATGAAAACGTAAGAGATTTTTTCCACCCTAAAATTTGCTTTATGTACTTACATGTGACTGAAATCTGAAAAGACAGATACACACTGAAATTTTAACATCAGTTATATTTGGGTGGTAGAAGCATGGATGATTTTTATTGTCTTTAGGCTTAAATGTTTCTTTCCCCACCAACATGTGCTAGTTCTCCTTGTGTAATATGAAATTCTTAAGATATTTAAAGATATGAATTTTCAATTGAAAAACTCTATGCTGTGATAAGGACTTAAGTGTGGAATAATAACATATTTGGGACTTGCTTTAAAAACTCTAGCAAGGGAGCTCCCTGGAGGTCCAGTGGTTAGGACTCGGTGCTTTCACTGCTGGGGCCAGGGTTCAATCCCCGGTTGGGGAAGTAAGATCCCGCAAGCCACACAGCACCGCCAAAAAAAAAAAAACAACAAAAAACACAAAAAACAAACAAACAAAGAAACCTCTAGCCAAAAAAAGGGGAAAGTGGAAAAGATAAAAACAAGTATGGGCAAATGTTGGTAATTATTGAAAACAGATGATGAATAAATGGGGATTTATGTATTCCAAAAAAATTTCACCCTTATTTTGGCTACGTTTTGAAGAATGCTTTATGCTCAAAAATTAAAAGCAAAAGAAAAGAAAAGCAATCCTTAAAATAACAATATTACATTATAGCTCCAAGATTAAATATCCATGAGTCCATATTGACACAAATAACCAAATAAATAAATGGGAGAGAAGTGACAGCTCTTCCTTACAGGAGAACTCCAGTTAATGGATGTAGAAGGAACAAGAAAAGGAGAAAAGTCACCATTAGAATACCACAGTAATAACTGCTGCAGGCAAGATCCACCATGGATGCTAAAATCAGTAGGCTAAAGTCTGAGAAGAAATAGAATCCTTTCAAATTAACTCCTCACAAGGTATTAATTAATCACAAAAGGAAAAACAGTAACTCTGTACTGGAGGTACCACCTTAACCAAGTGATCACCAATCAAAGGGAATAGTAATATAACCAGTGAAAATATCAAAAATTAAAGCCTAAAGAAAAAAGTAATCCTTAAAATAGCAGTATTATAACTGAAACAAATGAACTCATATATTAAATTGGTGCTATATCCACACAGAGAAATAAAGTTTTTCAAGTGGCACTTTTTTTTTCAAGTGAAATATATTCCAAAGACAAATAGAACTGCAAGAAAATAAACATCATTTCATAACATACTTTATAGATGTTGAAAATTCATGTATATAATGTAAGGAAAAAGGGTTTTCAGTGTAAGGAAAAAAAATACAAGTATAGGGGCTTCCCTGGTGGCACAGTGGTTGAGAGTCCACCTGCCGATGCAGGGGACACGGGTTCATGCCCCGGTCTGGGAAGATCCCACATGCCGCGGAGTGGCTGGGCCCGTGAGCCATGGCTGCTGGGCCTGCGTGTCCGGAGCCTGTGCTCCGCAACAGGAGAGGCCACAACAGTGAGAGGCCCGCGTACCACACAAAAAAAACAAGTATAAAATTAAAGAAGTAAATTATACTTCTTTATAATATTATATAATATTATAAATATAATATTATTATATATTAATATAAATATAATATTATATTTAAATCAGACTTATAAATTACCAAAAGAAAATTTAAGTAGTAACTTCACAGTGAAGAAAAAGATTGCTGTAAGAGAAGTTTCATCAATGTTAAATTTCCTGAACTTGATAACTGTGTCCTGTGCTGTGGTTATGTAAAAGAATTGTTTTTAGAAAATATACACAGAAGTATTAAGTAGTAAAGGCCAGAATGTGTACAACTTACTATCAGATGGTTTGGGAAAAGAAATTTATATATATATATATATATATGAGAGAGAGAAAGTATATGTAGAAAAATGTTAATTGGTGGAGAAAAGGGGGAACAAGATACAGGAAGTTTTTATCTATTCTCACTTTTCATAATTTGAAACAATATCAAAATAAAATGTTCAAAAAGTGTGAATCAGAAATAGCAGCGTAAATTCAAGGTCCCCGCCCCCTTCCCAATTATGTATTTCCTAATTCTGTTCTCTGAAGAGATCTAGAAACAATGACAACCCAAACAATGGGATGTGGTTTTGTAAGAAAATGTCCATCCTTTTAAAGAGATGCATACTGAAGTTTATGGGGTAAAATGACAAGATGTCTTCAAAAATACTTCAAAGGAACAAAAAAGGAGTGATGGAGCAAACATGACAAATCTTGATAAGTGTTGAGTCTGGTGGGGATGTGGGGTCTACTGCATTGTGCTCTATGTGTACACCTGAAAAATTTCAACATTTTTTCCCAAAGAACCATGCAAGGTGATATTAGCAATTTTTTTTTAAATACAAATTTTTCAGGCATGGCGTTCAGCCACTCTCTTCTTTTGGGGCATGACGGGTCTGATTCCGCCATGGTAAGGTCTGTCTTTCCTGACAGGGCTGTGGGGAAGGGCATTTTGCCACATGAGGATGGGGACCACGTATTCAAGGACTGGGGCCTGTCTTACCACACACCTGAGCTATGGGGACCATCCATTCACACACCTGAGGCCTAGGCTCTCTTGGGGTCTACCCAGACCCCGGTTTACCTTTATTGAGAACAGTGAGAGGCTTCCGGCTGTTGGGGTCCAGGTTACTGGGAGCAATTGAAAACCTGGGCGGAATGGTGAGGCAGGTGATGGGGAGGCGGGCAGGGATATAGCCAGAAGTGAAAAACTCGTCATCGAGCAGCTCCTGAATGGTTGGACGGGCAGTGGGATCTGTCTGAAGCATCTTCTGGATGAGGGAGGCGGCCACGGGGTTGATGTGCTGGAGCAGAGAGGGAGAGATGTAAGTAGGATGTGGTGGGGGACCCGAATGCAGCACTGCCACAAAGAAGCTGCAGCCCCGGCCCCGGCCTCAAATATGCCATGTTCAGCAGTTGAGTCTGGTGGGGATGTGGGGTGCCAAATTTCCACTAGCAGCTTTACTGAGTTCACAAGTGTCAACCTAAGTTGTGAGAATGACAATTTCTCCTTCCTCTTGAGGTCACTTTTTCCCAAAATTTGCTCTTGCATAATTCAAGTTGCTCACCACTAGAGCAGCACTTGAGAACACAGGCTTCGAAGTCATAATGACCTGTTTTAAGTCCCACTTCTGTCCCTTAATACTGGCTGTGACAACTAACCCAACTTTCTGGGCCTTTGTAAATTCATCTATAAAATGGGGACACAGCACCAAGCTTGCTGCCCTGGTGAGGAGATCAAACCCAGTGCAGGTCAAACGCACACTAATGTTCTAGCATCAACTATGCACTTACTATGTGCCAGCAAAATGTTCTAAGCACTTCATATCTATTAGCTCGTTTAACCCTCACAGAAACACCCAGGGGGTGAAGATCTCTATCACCATCCCTCTTTTGCAGATGGGGAAACTGAGGCACAGAGAGGTTAAGTGCCTGAGAACACACCCCTATGAATGGTAGAGCCAGCACCCACACGGGGGCATAGTCAGCTGCCAACACCCACACTCGGAACCACTCTGCTCTGTCCAATAAGTGACCCTTTATGACAGATTCAGTCCATCTGTCCTTATGGAGACAGGGCTCTTGGCTTCACACAAGGCAAAGACACCAAACTGGAAAGCAGCCGTACACCAGGTTGCTGCAGGCTATCCCTCTCAATGCACTCATGCTGGTGGTCACGAAGCACAGCAGTTCGCAGTTCTGTGAGCGCTTATTGTGTGCAAGGTGCTCTGGGGTAAGGACTCCATTTTATAGATGGGAAACTGCAGCTCAGAAGATTCAGGCCATCTGTCTATTGCGATCTGGGTGCTAAGTGGCAGGGCCCATCTGAATCAAGACAGTCCACTTCCAAGGCTTAAGCAGCATGTCTCTGTCTGCCTTCTACTTCCTTTATACTCTCTGTTTTACACACCTTTTGGTTTATCTGCCCAACCTTTTGAGAACCTACAAACTCTCTTCCCCAAGAAAAAATGCTTTTGTGCACATACGTCAGGTTTTGTATGCAATTTCAGACAAGGACCCTCTAAAGCTCTTATGGCTACCCTAGGGGTAGGACTGACCCACCTCTGTCCCCAGGATATGGCTGGGCTCAGTAAATAGCTTTGGGGGGGGAAAATTAAATAAAATAAATGTAAACTTAAAGTGTTTTTAGTCACCTTGGGAATACTGTACTCATTCTTCTTGATCCGGAGGTAGGTCTCTTTTAGGCAGGAGGTCTCGAAAGGTGGTTTGCCCACTAACAAGGTATACCTGTAAGCACAAGGAGGGATTTGGCTCAAGGCTCCTAACCAAAACCCAGATGCTGGAGGAATCCTCTCAGGGCCAGAAAAGAAGTCAGACACCTTCTGGACATTCACTATGACTCTCGGGTCCCGGAGGACAGTCCGCAAGTCCACTGAACAGCCCCAGGAGCCAAGACACTGGCAGGGAGGAGTCCTCAGTAGAATACAGGTGATGAGACTCGGTTCTCATGGGCCAGTGACTTTTCTGCTATAGCCTACACTACAGCAGGGCTCCAGAGACTGCCAGCCAACACAAAACAGGTCAAAGCAAGTGGGCTACCTGCTCCTACAGAGGCAGCTCCACGGTTAATAGCTCTGTACTTAAGGCTGCAAGTTTTCATTTGAAAAAGTTCCACTGCAGTGAAGTAGGAAAGCCACTGCGACAACTCATTTCTAACTCTCCAGTACCCAGGGCGACTATGAAAGGGGCGACACCTGAACAGGCCCAACTCTCTGCCTACCACCCACCCACCTCTGATGGCCTTGATCCAGACAGACCACAGGACCTCCTCCTGCCAGCTATAACTCCTGGCCTAACTCCTCCCACCCACTGCTGCTTCCTAGATCAGTGGTGCTACTACTTTATTGTGCATGGAAAAGCTCAAGGGTCTTAAAATCCAGATTCTGACCCAGTCAGCCTGGGTCCTGAGATTCTGTGTTTCTAACAAGTTCCTAGGTGATGATGATGCTGGTCTGCCATATTTTGAATAGCAAGGGACTAGAGCAAGTTTGTGGAGACCTTCCCTCCCCCATTCCCCAGACCCATGGCCCAGGCTGCAGGAATCCTAAAGGATACACCAGTGAGAAGAAAAGATATGGAAATGAGGCTTCCTTTTGGATCAGTCTGTCCTCTGGAGCAGCCTTCCCAAAGGCAGAAAGGTCTACAGGATAAGGTCTGCCAGGTGAGACATCCAAAAAGGCCTCTGCTGAGGCTGGGTGGGTCCTGAGACAACTCCCAACTTACATGATACACCCAATGGACCACACGTCCACCTCGAAACTGTGCCCTTTCTTGCTCAGCACCTCAGGAGCTATGTAATTAGGAGTCCCGCACAGGGTCTTCTTCCGTTCCCCGTCATACTCGACTTTGGTTGCCAGTCCAAAATCCCCTGGGACAGAGGGAGGAAGAGGGGGGGACTCAGATGCTAGCCTCTGTCATCTGTCAATGCGGACAGCTGGTTCAGGTGTAACCATCAAGAACCAGGGAAGTTTGATCCCTCAAGCCTCTACTTCTTGTGTGCAGCAAGGCGTGCTCAGGAATCCTCCCACCATGCTAGCCCCAGGGAGGGGCCTCCCAGAGACCCTCCTCACCCCCTCCCTTAGAAAGGAGGGCTTTGCTTCTAAAAGGGAACTGGTAGGGATAGCAAAAGTCACATGCCTTCAGGGATTAAGCAGGTAAATGTCAAGATGGCTACTTGGCAAGTTTGTGAGGAAGTGATAGGGAGGGGTGGGGATTGTGACAAAGCAGAGGGCACCTAAAGGGAACAGCTGCTTTTCAGTCCGACAAAGAGCTGCCCCTGTACTGCTGGAGCACCCAACTGTTTAAAAGGAGCCCCAAATTCAAAATCATTCCTCCCGATTTAAAAAAATGAAAACAAATTCAAATCCTTTTTTTTTTTTTTTAAAAATAACACTGTATAGGAGAGCACACACAACCAAAACTGCATCTGCAGGCAAGCCACTGGCTTTTGGCTCTTTGTTCTAAATTTCTGTACTAAAGAGAGGCTTCTAGAGGCAATCAACAGCCCAGACTTCCTACCATCCTCTTCCTCCCTCCCTTGTCTCCTTCCGACTTCCTCTCTCCCTCCCTCTCTCCCAGCTCCTCCTCATTCCCATAGAGCGTAGTGTCAAGTGTCCCTGCAGGCCCAGCTCCTCACCTATTTTCACCTCCAGATCCTCGTTCAGGAAGAGGTTGCCCAACTTGAGATCTCTGTGAATAACGCGGTTTCGATGCAGGTACTGGCAGCCAAGGACGATCTGACGCAGATAGTAGCGGGCCTCGGGCTCGGTGAGTGCTTTCCTCCGCTTGTGCAGCTCCAGGAGAGACTGGGCGGGGGAGGGAAGGAGGAGTGGGGAGTGGGTACTCAGGCCCAAGGCAGGGAGGGGGTGTCATTAGGTGAAGGCAGCCCAGGACCCTACCGCCCATTCCTTCTCCAGGACAACTACGATGTAGACTCTCCCCTAAGCCAGGCCACAACCGTTCATAGCACCCCCTCTCCCACCAGCTCCCTCCCAAGTCCCTTACCTGGGACCCCTCTCTCAGCCCACTCCGGAAGCTCAGAGTCCCCTGTATCCCTGCCCCGGGACTCTTCGCAGCAGCAGATCCCTTTCCTGACCCCTCTCCTCCCCGAAGCTACTAAGTCTGGCTCCAACTACTTTCTGCCTGACCCAACCCCACTCCGGAGGTTCGGGTCCACAGCACCCCTTACCTAGCAACTCCGGAAGCCCTGGCGTCCATTAGCACGGTTCTCCCGCGACCCGCACCTCCCCCACTCAGCCCAACTCCCAGCGTCCGGGAGCCGCCTTCCCTAGAGCCAACCTGACCCGGGCTCCACTTAACCGGCACCCCCTCTCCTAGAGGCCCCAAATGCCAAGCACCTCTTTCCCCGAGACCTTCTCCATCCCCAGCTCGAGGTTCCCAGCACCTCCTCCCCAGCAGCTCCGGGTGCGGGCGCCCCAACCCTGGTCCCCAGGCAGCTCCAGTCCCCCAGCAGCGACACTCACCCTCCGGCGGCAGAGCTCCAACACCACGAACACAAAGTCGTTGTCCTCGAAAAAGCCGTGGAAGCCGACGACGTGCTGGTGAGCGAGGCTACGGTGAATGGATATCTCCATGGACATCTTCTCCTTCTGGTGCGGTTTGAGCAACAGCGACTTAGGCACGATCTTGCCCGCAAACACCTCCTTAGTGTCCGCGTCCGAGATCTCGAAGCACTTGGCAAAGCCACCCTTTCCCAGAAAGCGGCCCCGCAGATAGCGCCGCCGGCTGCGTGGGTCTACTAGGACCTCCGGGATCTCTTTCGCCGGCGGGGCAGCCGCCGGGGCTCCGGGAGCTGCAACTCCAGGGACCCCGACTTTCCCTGGATCGGCTGGTGCCCGCGCCAGCTTCCCTGCAGTTGCCGCCGCACTCATGTTCCCGGAATTGCTCAGCGGACCTAGCAAGGTCTGGGCAGAGGCTTGGCAGGGCTCTGCTCCTCCTCGAATTCAAACGCGGCGCCGGGAACGTTACAAAAGCCTACGCGCTACTGATTGGCCGCGGGGATTTAAAATCCAAACCCGCCCGCCGCGCGGCATTCTGGGAGCTCTCTGCACCGCAGCCGCCTTTAAACCCGTACCCAGCCCCTGGGGGAGAAGCTTGATTGACAGGGACTCGCGGACCGAAGACACGTGGGATGCCTGGGAAACCAAACCCGGTGCGGGGACGCCGAGACCCAGCCCCAGGAGGGGGGGAGTTAAAGGTTTTTCCCTTTCTTGGCGGCCGGGGAGCTCCTGCAGTTCACAAGCACCTCCTACAGGAAGCTTTTCCTAGCACCTTCCTCCACCCCTCACGCCACCTTCTAGATTATAAACTCTGAGAACAGAGACCTGGCAGCGCCAAGAGATAGCTGGCAGAGCCCGAGTACCCACCTCCGAGGTCATCAACTCTCTTCCAAGTCACCCCAATAAACTAAAATCTAAGTAAAAAGAGGATGCTTGCCAGGCAAATGCACCTTCAAGACAAATACCCTACTCCCCTCCTTCAAATAACAGCAGGGAAGACTAGCATCACCATCACCTGGGAGCTTGTTGTTAGAAAGGCCAAGATTCAGGCCTCAACGCAGACCTCCCAATTCAGAATCTACCCAGTGATTCCCACACATACTGAAGTTTGAAGGGCACAGTACCAGACACCACCCTCCCCCACCCCTGCCCCCAGGCCATTCTGCAAGACAGTTGTCTGGCTGGCTCACTGCTCTATTTCCCAGTGCCTAAAACAGTGGACCCTCAATTGTTCGGTAAGAGGGGAAGGATGGTTGGTTGGCAGAATCCCTGGCAAACTGGTAGGCCAAGGCCAAATTTGGCCTGCAGAGGTGTTTTGTTTGGCCTCCCACTTTTTAAAATTTGGATTCATTTACAGGACTTAAAAATCAAGAGAGCTGGGCTCCCCTGGTGGCGCAGTGGTTGAGAGTCCGCCTGCTGATGCAGGGGACACAGGTTCGTGCCCCGGTCTGGGAAGATCCCACGTGCCGCGGAGGGGCTGGGCCCGTGAGCCATGGCCGCTGAGCCTGCGCGTCCGGAGCCTGTGCTCCGCAACGGCAGAGGCCACAACACTGAGAGGCCCAAGTACCGCAAAAAAAAAAAAAAAAAAAAAAAAAATCAAGAGAGCTCACATAAAAATTCAGATTTGTGGTTTTTCCTTAAGAAAAACCATTAGCTGTGGCAACTGTATGCCTACTTACCTTCCCAATTTGTCACAGTTCCCTGTTACCCCTCTTTGCCCATTTGTCTGTCTGGCTTCCGTAGATACTGGAATGGTAACCCTGAGAATTACCCAGGTTAGCAGCTCTGTAGCGTCCAATGGTGTCTTTGCTAGGACTCAGCAAAAGTCAACCATATTACAAGTATCTCTTTATCTGACTCCCAATAAACTGAGAGGCAATGAAGACCTCTTTCCTACCCCATGTCCTAAGCTCTCAGGACAATGCCTGGTAAAAAGGGGTGATTAAAATGTTTTCTAAATAAAAGCAAGTTGTTTTTTAAAACTAAGTTATTGGACTTCCCCTGTGGTCCAGTGGTTAAGGCTCCACGCTTCCACTACAGGGAGCATATGTGTTTGATCCCTGGTTGGGGAAGTTCCACATGCTCTGCAGTGCTGCCAAAAAAATAAATAAATAAAATTATGATTTTTGTATCCCTGTAGTGTGTAATATTCTCTTTTATCTTTTTATAAAGTTGAATCTATGTACAAAAAAAGTACACTCGGGCTTCCCTGGTGGCGCAGTGGTTGAGTGTCCACCTGCCTATGCAGGGGACGTGGGTTTGTGCTCCGGTCCAGGAGGATCCCACATGCCGCGGAGCAGCTGGGCCTGTGAGCCATGGCCGCTGAGCCTGCGCGTCTGGAGCCTGTGCTCTGCAACGGGAGAGGCCACAACAGTGAGAGGCCCGCGTACCGCAAAAAAAAAAAAAAATTTATTTATTTGGCTGCACCAGGTCTTAGTTGCAGCACGAGGGATCTTCGCTGCGGCATGCAGGATCTCTTTAGTTGCGGCAAGAGGGATCTTTAGTCGCGGCATGGGGGGACTTTAGTTGCAGCATGTCGGCTCAGTTGGGCATGCGGGATCTAGTTCCCTGGCCAGGGGTCGAACCCGGGCCCCCTGCATTGGAAGCGTGCAGTCTTAACCACTGGACCACCAGTGAAGTCCCTAAACATATCTTAATGGGACAGCTCAGTGAATTTTCATAAACTGAACACACCCCATGTAAACAGCACTCAGACTGAGAAAGAGAACACGACCAACACGCCAGAAGTCCCCCTTGTGCCCTGTGTTGGGGTACCCCAAGATTACCTACCCCCAGTTCAATGATTCACTAGAAGACCCACAGGACTCAGCATATAGTCCTACTCACAGATGGCTATGATTTATTACAGCAAAAGGCTATGAAGCAAAATCAGCAAAGGGAAAATGTGTATAAGGCAAGATCCTGGGGAAACCAGGCACAAGTTTCCCAAAGTCTTTTTTTAGTGGAGTCACACAGGACACAATTAATTCCTCCAGCAATGACTGTGACAACATGTGTGAAATGTTATCTACCAGCTCATTAGAGACTCAACGCCCAGGACTTTTCTAGGGGCTGGTCACGTAGGCACCCTCTGCCTAGCACACACCAAAATTCCACATTCCTGGAAGGAAAGCATGTATGCAGCATCAACCACATTGTTTGCACAGTTTAGGCCCTGTGAGCAACTCTTATCATTTAGGGAATGGTGAGAACCCTCCTGAAATCCAAGAACCCAGATGCCAGCCAGGGCCAACATTGTGAGCAGGTCTTTCTAAGGAGAGCAGTCTCAGGCCTGCTTGATTAGCTCTCTTCTGCACAGTCCACCTCCTTGGCCCTTAAGGGCCAAATCCACTTTAGAGCAAAATTATTATCAGTAGGACCCCATACAAAAGGGTGAGACCAACCTGCAATATAGATCTCAGTTATGCCTTTCGTTCATGGAAAGGCAGCACTGGGAGCTTTCCTTTTCCTTTGTTTCTGAGAAACAAAGATCATAAATGCCCCCCCCCCCCCGCCGCCACCCACTCCCCCACCACCCTGCCACTTCCCCAAAGCTCCCTAGCTGCCAGGTTCTGTTTTTTCTCATTGTTTCAAAATCAGCACGCCCCGCAGATCAGCAATCCTAACTTTACATTTTTTCAATCATCTCTTATTCTCATCCAGGCCTTTCATCCAGAGACCTGTATGCAAGAGGTACAGAATATTTTTGCAGATAAATATTTTAATACAGTTTAACCAGAAAGATATTCAGGAATTGATCAGGATATGTTATGGACTGAATTGTGTTTTCCCCAAATTTATATGTTGAAACCCTAACGTCCAGTATAGAATGTGACTGTATTTGGAGATATGGCCTTTCAAGAGGTGATTGAAGTAAAATGAGGTCATCTGGGTGGGCCCTAATCCAATATGACTGGTGTTCTTATAAGAAGAGATTAAGACACAGACACTCACAGAGGGGCAACCATGTGAAGACACAGTGAAAAGGCTGCCAGCTGCAAGCCAAGGAGAGGGGCCTTAGGAGAAACGTGCCAACTCCTGCTCTTGGATGTCTAGCCTCTAGAACTCAGAGAAAATACATTTCTATTGTTTAAGCCATCCAGTCTGTGCTACTTTGTTATGGCAGCCCTAGCAAACTAACAGAGGGTGAAATCCTGAATTTAAAACATTTCAAAGTGGGTTTATATAACCTCCCACCCCTTTTATCCAGAGAAAGCCTAGAAAAGATCAATCCCTTTCCAGAGACGGATACATCTGAATAATCCATCTACCTTACTAAGGTGTGTGTAGAGAGGGAAACGTGAGGAGGTAGAGTAAGGCTATCAGCCCATCGCAGTAAATTGCAGCTAATCCAGAACGCCAAACACACAAATCAACAGCAGTGAGCTGCCCCCCAGAGAAGGCCCAGAGTCTGATCTGTCAAAAGCAGGCAGAGGGGTGGAAGTCCCTGTGACGTGCCGTCCTCCAACTTGCAGACTGTGGTAGGGATCACAAGTTAGGATGCAATTAGCCTCTGCATTAGATGTAAAGAGCTGATCAGCAGCTTGATTTTAGATGGTCCCATCAGAGAACAGGCCCCTTCCTACGGGTATTGTATGTGACCCAGCTGGTGCAGCCAGCATCCACGATGTATATTTTCATCGTTTAGAGCTCCACAGAAGGGGTCGTAATCTCCAGTGGTCCCAGGGTCTGAGTCCTGTTCACGGAGCCTGGGTCTGCTTTCAGCGCAGCACACCTCCTGCTGCGGCTGAAACTGCATGACAGCCAGGGTCAGGTTTCAGCTTAGAGTCAGGTCCAAGCAATTAGGATCAGTGAATTTGGGATTCCAATCAAGCCAGGTGCTTTCAGGACCAGCAAAGGCGTGCTGCAGTGCCGAACAGCCACGGTCCAAGTCCAAGTGACAAGCAAGGCTTCCTTTTTATCTTGTCAGTCTCAGAGTCCAAACTGACCCACTCAAAAACATGCACATCAAACTGGACAGCCATCAGGCTCTAAGGGTCAGATATTTGATTTCAACACGGCTTATTATCAATTTAACTGCTTTTTCAAAATCCAAATGTGTATTTCCATCCAGAGACTGCCTCTCTTTTCATGTTGTCACCCTCTTTCCAGAGGCTCGAACAGACACAAATCATAGGAAAAATCATCAGTTACAGAGACTTGTCCTAGTTCTAATACCCAAAGAATTTAAATTCCAACCCACCCCTTGATGGTAAAAGCAAGGAAGCTGTACCCCACCAATACCTTCTTCATTTTTGCATGTTTGAGATGGTTCTTCTAGCATTTATGAAATTATAAGCATTAACATTTTAAATCAATTTTATCATATATCCAGATACAAGAACCACAAAATACAAAGCCATTTTTTAAAAACTTCCCTTTTTCTCTCATTGCAAATTTACACAAACCCCTAGTAGGAAATTCAGCATTTATAGGGCTATCATTACAGGCCTGCAGTGTTAACTCTTTTCTGCACAGGCCCCCTTTCAATTACAACGCCTCAAGGGTATCCACTATCATAAGGTATGATTTATAAGGAATGGATTCAACCAATTAAAAAAAAGTCAGGGAACTCCCTGGTGGTCCAGTGGTTGGGACTGTACTTTCACTGCTGAGGATGTGGGTTCGCTCCCTGGTCGGGGAACTAGGGTCCTGCAAGCCATGCAGCGCAGCCGAACAAAATTTAAAAATTTTTTAAAGTTAGACTGTTTTTCATGCATATATTCAAAGGCCTGTTGAGTACCTACTGCATGTATGTTTTATTTATTCCATTTAGGAACATTTACTAAAAAAATGATGAAGCATTGAAGAAACTTTAATTCCCTTTCATCCTTTAACAGCTGTTTTCATATTCCCTTCTAGTCCTTGTCAACATGGACTTTCAATTTTATATAGCTGCAAGTGTGCCATGTTAATACAATCTATTTGCATGGTACCAGTAATACTACTACTAACAGTGAGCCCTATGGACTTACTATACGTCAGGCACGGGGCTAAGAGCTTTACAGAGATGATCTAATTTAAGCCATACAAAGACCCTAGAAGAAAAGGATTACTACTCCCATTTGAAGATGAGGAAATGAGCACTTGTACATTAGGTTACTTGCCCAAGGTCATGTAGCCAGGAGATAGCAGAGCTTGAATTACAACCCAACTCTGCTGACTCCAAAGCACACCTGTCTGTACACTGCCTCTCAGGGCCTTGTTGTTCTGGCAAGAACCAAATCCCAGACTCATTTGGTTCACTCGCTCACTTGCTCATTCACTCCTACCAAAAAGCAAATACAATGTGTTGGTTAAGCTCATGAACTTAAGAAACCCTGGGTTCAAACGCTGTGTGACTTCAGGCAAGTGACTTAACCTCTCTGTGCCTCAATTTCCAGGTCTATAAAATGGGGATAATTACTGTGCCCATCTCCTAGGATTCCAACTAGGAGATGACATGCCTATCTCCTAGGGTTTTTGTG